TGTCATATCACATCGCGTATGCATATACTAGTACGTATATTTTGAAACTAATATCCCAGCCATTTACATTCACATTGCATTCACAGCCCAACATTTCCCTCTAATTTATTTGGAATGACAAAAATCAATTTTGGCTCGGATATTTTATGAATTGGAAAAAAAAAACAAAAAAATGTGAGAGAGAAAATGTAGCTCATACGTCCTCAAGTAATGTGCTGCAAGTAAAATAACGTCGGTGTTACCCGTATGCAGTCTTGAACTTATTTTGTCAAGTAGAAACATGTGTATCTGTCATTACCGCACAGTGTCTGGATTTAAGGCAGTGATTAATCAAGTCAATGTCCTAGTAACTGAACAACTACTAATGAGAAATCAGTTCGCTTCGTTTATTTACAGTCATATACTCCTGGACCAGTGCTTCGACATTTTGAATGTAAACTCCTGGAATTTTATAATTATCTCTATAGACAACCCTTTATGTCATTGATACTAAACGCTTTGAAATGAGTGGATATCACATTGATGTTCATACAATAGTTCAATTTGTGAGTAGATCGATCGGAAGCACCCAATAGCACTTTCTTTAATGTGAGTAATTTTGTTGTTTGGTGGACCTTCCCTGTTTATTTTGGCTGGAAATGGTTTTAAAAATGTCCAACAAGTAACAACTAATGTTAAACGTATATGCCATCAAGAAGAAAAAAATGGGTGTCAATTCATTGAAAAAGTGCTCCGCTGTCCGTCTAAATTTTTACAATATACTGGGTGCATTTTGCCACAAAACTTACAGATACTCCATGACGGAGATGTATCTTTTATCATGATAATGGTTGCTCAGTAGACGGGTAATTAATAATTGAAGTCCCCCATAATTCGTATCCGTTAGTCAATTATTCAGAAGTATGACGAGTCCGCTACGCTACACATGGTCAGTTTGATGTAATTTAATCCGTTCATTTATGTATTTATTACGGATATTACGGATAAATTTCCAATGTAACTCCTTTAATTATGTATTTGTAGTTGTTATATGGTAGTTTGTACAATATTAGAACAGTCCATGTGGGGGGGGGGTCAGTTTGTCAACTCTTGACAACGCTATACAGATGTTTTGAGATTTACACATTTAACATTAATTAACTAACCAAGGGCACATGACAACAAAATGAAATAAATACAAAAGCAAAAAATAATCATATACATTGTGACACTAAGTCCGAAACTACCAATGCATTTTTAATCACGGAAAGCTTTTTTGAAATATTTTTTTTGAGGTTCTGTAAATTACAAATAGTTGTACTGTATTTGATAGCGTATGTTAAGTTGTTCCATAAACGTGGGCCAGTAACAGAAAACGTCCTATCATCGCAAGTTGAAAAATTAGGTTTTGGTAGAACAAACAACAACTGATTAGAGGGACGTAACCCATATTTCAGTGGTACATATTGTATCAACATGTCATTCATATACACTGACGCCTACCAGGAATGTTTAAACACTAGTAGTAAGATCTTGAACTCTATTCTAAATTTTACAGGCAACAAATAATTGGAGTGATATAGTCATATTTTTACTGCAATCCGTTCTTAAACTGACAGTGGCCTGTACCAACATTTCGGTTGTTTCAATGGATAGACATTTCCTAATTTGTGATATTCTTTGCAGATGACAAATGTATGCAATGTGATCGCGCATCACCATCTCATTGTCAAAAATGACACCAAGGTCACGTGCATTATGTATCACCGAAACCAATGTATCATCATGACTAACAACGACAACATATTCCGAACTATTTTGTCAGCATTTAGTTTCAACTTATTTATATACGTTCATGACTTAAGTATCATGAATGCAATTCGGCCAAATTATTCCTGGTCATTCATAGAATTTGGTTCAAACGGACCGGCGTGTCGTTTGCATAAAGAAGACATGAAAGACCATAGCGCTCAATGATACCAGAGTGGGGAGGTGTACATACTAAGTAAAATATAACCCATTACAGACCCCGGGAACACCAGATATATTGACAGGTATTATCTAAAAACACGAATGAACTGCACCGGTGATACAACGTTTCAATCGATCAAGTAAGATATCAGTATCGACAGTATCAAATCTAACCAAACAAATCATAACCATAAAAAATATTTGAATCTGAATATCTGTGAATTGTGAATATCATTTTTAACAAAATCAGTTGCCAGATTCGTTTTCATGGAACGCCAACTTATACAAACATGTTCAACACTTCTTGTTTGGGAAGATATGTTTTGTCATCGAAACTTCAACAAGACACTTTTCAGAAATGTTCATAACTACCTTTCAAATTTCAATTGTAAATACCCTGGTCCCCTGATGACGAGTTCATAACTTATCTACATTTACGTTAATTATGAAGGAAAATATGGAAAATGGCTTCAGTGAATTGGGCTCTGAATTACTAAGCCCATCGCCACGTATCAATAATTTCAATACACTTTACCAAATGAAAAAACGAATCATAAAGGAAATGGTACGCCTGATATCGACACAGTGGGGCCTACCAGTGAAACGCCGAAATGCTGGTGTTATAATAGCGATACGCCAATGCCGACATCATAACAGCGCTATGTCAATGCTGACGTCAGTATTATCTGGCGGTTTCCCGTAAAATGTCAAGAGTTTATAGCAAAACATGATATAAAATTGAGTGGTTTAAGTAGTATCTATACTGGAACTCGAAATTTCGACAGGAAACACAAATCAGCGAAAACATTCCAAAGCGTCATCAACATTCGGGCATTTTTACTCACTAGAGATAATCTTTTTAGAACTATTTCCACGGTTATTTCATAAAAATAAATAGTATTCGTTAGAATAATACATCATATAACTACATAACATTTTTTCACCACACCTGTATCTGAAAAAAAACTTTTTACCATTTTCACGAGTGTGTGACACATTGTTTGTGTGAAAAGTAATTTAATTATACTTTTTTTTTAAAGTTTTGAGAGCAGCATTAATTAAAGTTTACCTTAAAAGTCATGAAATCTTTCGATAAGTTTTAATGTTAGTCAAATTCCTTCAGATTATAAAACTGTGCTAGCAATATTTATTCTATCAAATTAATGCATTATAGCGCCCTCTGTAGTTCACAAAAAGAAAGACAATACTGCCCTCTAGAGTTAGTCATCAGAACACCAAACCTCAAGTGGAGAGTAATCCCTTCAGATGTTTGTAGATTATCATTTAGTGAGGATCACAGAGTTTCCTTTGTTATTTACCAATTCTTGTTAACTAGTCACTGAAGTACAGTGAACATTACATAGTTGTATTCATAAACATATGCACAATGTAACCATGTTGAAATTGTTTTGTAAAATGTATTCTATTCGGAAAAAACTTTTAGTTAGATAGAATCTAGCAATGGACAATAACACTTTCACTAAAGGTCAACTCTGCTGTTACTCTCCATTATTCAAATTCCAGTCTTGTTTTCCTTATGTAACCATATTGTTCATAATCCTTAAAATAAATGATGGTAACATCTTTATTGATTTTAGTCTCACAGAATCCTCTCCTACAACAACGCTATACAATAGCACTGTACTGATACTTTGCTAATGATAATTTAGATTTCTACAAAATATTTTTTATTTAAATACATGAGAATAAAGGAAACTATTCAGTGACACTTTATACATATGCGTTTTATTAGTAAACTCCTACCATCGACAGATATTATAATGATAATTTGGTATTTCTATGTTTTCTTTATTGAAAACAAAAAAACAGAATTCTATTTTAATGTATTTTACGGATGACCAATTGGAAATCATTATGTATATGAACTGGTTCACCAAAAACATTTAAAACGTTTCTTACTTACTGACTAGTTGTGTATATACAGTGTATTGAGTATGAGACACACATGCCTGATTACGTAACATGGGACTCACATTGAATATATGGTACGGTGTGATCAAGTTAAAAAAAAATGTATGTCAGAAAGAAACTAAATTAAATTTTGACATTCAATTAGTCAAATCAGTTTACCATATACATGTACATATACTTTTAGTGATTTCACAATTTGGCATTTGCGATAGCCCTGTGTAAATGAACATTGGTTCGCTCCACTCGACACTGACTCAGATCTACATTCAACAATTCTCTTCCGCCTTTGAACTTGTCTAAAAATCTATCTACGCTTGATTTATCGATTGAAGACAGTCCATGATAATAGTCTGTTATGCCTTGTAACATCCAGATAGGGTAGGGGAATATAGCTCGCTTGCTTGATGCACTGTTGATATGGAAAGTGTGCATTCCAATCTGCCTGGGAATATCATCTTCCTCGGGATTCTCCTGGAATAAAACATAAAATATGAATCAACAATCTGGTAGTTTTTTTTTTTACATGATGATTTTGTTCTTTCCGTATGTCCTCCACTTCCTCTTTCAGACTTTTTAATGGCCCAGAAAAAAATATTTATGTGCATCACACGTGTAATATAATTTTTTTGGATAAAAGCACAATTTAAAAATTTGTGGTAATACTTTTTTTTTTTATTGGACATTACGCTAATTCTGTTTACTCAGAGATTGTTTTTCTTCTAATTGATTGTCCGGAAATTTTAATCTTAGATTTTGTAAGAAAATGTTAAACAGTCATTATTGTTGAATTGTCACAGTTGTCACTATGCATCGTGTTCAAAAGTGGTTCCAAGTGACATATACAATAACTGTAAGATACCTGATTCGTTTACATAAAATTTGAATGCATGCATTCTTCCAATTTCAAAATGAAAAAATACAATACTCTTTTATAGAAGATGACAGTGAATAATTATTACCTTCAAGTAATTGGTCAATTCATTGGCTGTGTCAATCAACACTGCTCCTTGATTGGTAAACATAGTATCGAGAATATGATTGAGCGTTTCAGGCACTTCGTCATCTGGCAAGAAGTCAGTGTGCTCCGGTTCTTGTTTCACTATCCGGCCGTCAACAACTGTATGGTTATACTGTCTACTTTCTGTTGTAAATTGATTCATGGTTTCAACCCATGCTGCCACAACAGGAGCTCTTGTTTTCATAATTAAACCTAAAACAAAAACATACATTTTCCAGTGAATGCAGAAACTATGTTTCTTATGTTGAAAAAGGCTTTTACTTTTGTTCAGCTGTAATCAGGCCATATACTGCAAAATACATTATTCATTTTTTTCCCCATATTTTACAAACTTTATACAAAAAAAATCAAAATTTCTTTTCAGCAAAAATTAATCACAGCTAAAATAAAGTATTTTACAGTATTTTTATTTCCCCTGTAAGTTGAAAAAAAAAAAACATCATTCAAGTTTTGATGATTACTGTAAACTGTAGTGTCTGATAATTTTCATTAAATTTGTCATGCATATGCTTCACTTTTTATGAAACTTTATTCAAAACCAACTTTAATTTTGAAATCATAGATGAACTATTTTGTGGATGGTTACAAAGCTAGTCAGTGGCAGTGAACAAGTTAATTAATATTCATCTTATCATGCCTGCAAGTTATAAGTAAATTGGTTAACACTGAGGTGTTACACACCAATCGGTAGAAAAACAAATATAAACAAAATTTGATTTAGGCATTAAACATTAGTAGTATAAATATCAGGTGTTTTTGTGTGTGTGGTGAGAATATAGATGGCATACCTGGTGCTGGATCTCTGAAAAATATTGCATATAATTGGCCGAACACAGCAAAGTCAGCAATGGAGGGTTGGTATCCCAGCAGGTATGGGTACTTATCGAGATGAACTGATAAGACATCTAGTAGTTTAATATAACCTTTTTCTAATTCAGGTATGGTTTCCTCATTGATGCCTACAATCAATAAAATGAAATTACATATGATTAATTAAGCTTTGGACCATAAATTACAAATATATTCATTAAAAATAGAGAATTGAAAATATGATCACAAAATGATCCACCCAAGGAACATCTGTACCAAGTATAAAAGCAATAGAGTCAATAGTTTTCATGAAGAAGTCGCTTGAAAAAAAAGTTGATGCAGGAAGATGATAACAACAGAAAAAATCACCTATACCAACAGCTGTGTCTGTCATTTTCGATGACAGCACAGCTAAATATATAGAAAACTTAATTTTAGCATACGCCTACCGATAAAGGGACACATTTGTTTGAATCGTGAATACACTCTTCGTCCTCGTTCTTCCTGGATGTCAGCAGGCTCCCCTGGAAATGAGTTTTTCCCAAATTCTACATTCAAGAATTTTGAATTTTCATTGAAGTTCCACCTGTAAACATTTTCAAGACATTTTAATTAGAGAAGTTTGTCTTTCTGTGTGTATGTTTGGTCAATTTAATGAATGTTAAAAGTATGTTAACAGTATGCATGAGGGGACAAGCTCTGCTCACCTACCTCGTGTCGCAGGTGCCACCTTACTAGGGGGTCCGGGGGCATGCTCCCCCTTACAAACTTTGAAATCTAGACTTTCTGAAACGCTATTTCCCACATTTTGAGGGGCAAATTTTGCTGACACAATAAGTTTCAGTTTGATTTTGGAGGGGCGACGCCCCCTCCCCCAATAATTTTTTTGGTTCTTCCCTCCCCTGTGCTGCCACCGCCACTGCTACAGTGGGTGAAGTTAACATATTCAAGGTTACACCTGCATGTGTTTTTACAGAAGAACTTTATTTATCACACTCTATAGTCAGAATTAATTTATACTTTTGTTTTCATCTCCAATTATGACTCTAAAATTACCTATAATGCATTGCGGTGATAAACAACCACTCATCAGCGTAGAGTTCCAGTAAAAGACTAACAAGTCTCTGTCGCGGTGTCTTGGGATATATTGACGGGGTTGGATGTTGTTTCTCTAAGTTATTTATGATATCTGTGGAGTCTTGTATGAATTTGTTATCTGGCGTCACCACAACGGGTACAACACTCCATCCAATGCCCGGTTTCACCACTTTCTGCATTACCTGAAACAGATGACACATCGCGTCAAATATAAGCTTCATCATTTTTCCTGCCAACGACGTGAGTGATTACATAATTTGTAAATGAGCAAAGACTACAATTTTAAATTTAAAAGTGGTTAGCAGAAACTCAAAAATTGGTTTATAAATGAAAAACAATAATATACTGGTATGTTCAGCTATTTTTATAAAAAACTAAATTAAACTGCTTTAATTTTCTCAGATAGCATAAATCTGAAACAATCCAGACATTATATTGGGAGTCTTTAGTCAGGGCACCAAAATGACTTCTGGAATTCTGTATCTGTGAATTCCATTAAGGTTGTGAATGTGCACTATTTTGTTTTCAAAAATGTAACATAATTATTGATTTAGACTCAAATTATCAACTTTTTCAGGTTTTTCACCCATTAGAAAATAATATTTAAAAAAAATAGTTCATTTAGATATTTTTTGAACAATTTCCAGAGGAATTTATATTAAAGCGAGGAGGGGGGGGGGGTTGTCACCTGCGCATGCGTCAGATGACCATAGTGTATTTTTGTTTACAAGCGCTACCCATGAGCCTTTGAAGTTTTTAGCTGTGTTGTTATCATCGCTTGGGACTCAATTCCAGCGTGTGCGCATGTGACGACCCTCTCGCTTTAAAGCATTATTTCATAAAAAATAAACAATATTCATCAGAACTTTTTAATAATTTGCCACAATCATACATACGGTACCTATCTAAGACCTTTGTATAACATATAATGTTTTGTGTAAAAAAAAGTAGTTCTATGAACAAAAACATAAAACAAACTATTTTGTAAAAGACAAAAAACATGTGTACCAACTAATGTCTTTTTCATATATTCAAGTCATGAATTTTTATTTATTCAACCTGTCTTTGCATTAAAGATTTCATGAAAACAGGTCAATAATGAGTCTCCTTTATAAGTTAGTTACTACAAAATTCAATTTACATATATACCCTACTGGAATAAATAAAAATATACATGTATTTGCCACACATTTGATCTTCCAAGCCCCATTCTAAATGGCCCTGTGCCACATGCCACATGCCACATGTGCTGACTCCCCCGTTTTTACATACTGTGGAATACTTT